AGGGAAGGAGGGGGATAGTGGATGGGGAGGAGTGGGGTGTTAACCCCTCAGCCAATAGATTAGTGGAAATATGATTACAAACAATCAGAATAACATAATATTTAGACTGAGTAAAAGTGTTTGATTCAAAAAATAATTTTTTATTTGATTCAAATGTTTCCTATCTTCCCCCACCCCCAAATTTTTTTTTATTTTTTCATTTGAGGTTTTTAGCCAAAATTAATTTCCTTCGCTATTTCTCAATTTGCATTAAAGAAACTGAGTCTCTGTCACAAACATTAGAAAATTTGAATTTTTGGAAAATACTCAATTCCTTTTTTTCCTATTTTTACCTTCCTTGCTACCACTACACACCCCTTTCATTTCCTACTTTTACCTTCCTTGCTACCACTACACACCCCTTTCTCTTTCTACTTTAAAGACGGGCGGACCCCAATATATTCTAGTACATCTTGAAAGATGGGCGGACCCAATATATCCAAGTACATCTGGGAATGACACCCCTGATAAGTGTTCATAAATGGGTGAGATTCTACTTGAACCACACAAACACTCTGAATGTCTATTTTCAGACAGATAGATAGAAATAAGTCCCAAGGAGAAAAATCAAGCCAACCAATTAACTGTATCATACTTATTTTAGACCTTGCAACCTTGGTTGTTTAACAGGTTTGCGCTGTTTATATACATATTATTTCCCAAGGGAGGAAAAGTGAGACCTAATTTACGTATAAATCCCCGGATTTGGTGAAGCCAAGATAAATTGTATTTTCTAGTGGATAAAATTAGATCTTTTTCTTACAACCAGGATATAATAAATGGAGGAATAAATCCTTTTTATTTTCTGTACATTCCGTCCTGTATATATCCCCCCTCCCCAGCTCTAAGTTCCCCTCTTGTCTCTGCCAAAACCAATTGTACCCAGTTTATCCAATAATACTGCTATTAGCCGCATGCCTGCTCCTTTATCCGGGATATACAGCGGGTACCCGGGATATATAGCAAGCACATGGGATATACAGTGGGTACCTAGGATATTTAGCAAGTACCCGGGATATTTAGCAAGTATCCAGGATATACAGCGGGTACCCGGGATATTTAGCAAGCACATGGGACATGCAGCGGGTACCCAGGATATTTAGCAAGCACATGGGATATACAGCGGGTACCCGGGATATTTAGCAAGTACCCAGGATATGCCGCGGGTACCCGGGATATATAGCAAGCACATGGGATATACAGTGGGTACCTAGGATATTTAGCAAGTATCCAGGATATACAGCGGGTACCCGGGATATATAGCAAGTATCCAGAATATACAGTGGGAACCCGGGATATTTAGCAAGTATCCAGAATATACAGCGGGTACCTGGGATTTTTAGCAAGTACCCGGGATATACAGAGGGTACCTGTGATATTTAGCAAGTACCCTCTGTATGGGATAAACAGAGGGTACTTGAGATATACAAGGGGGTACTTGGGATATACAGCGGGTACCATATACTGCTGGTACCCAGTATATACAGTTGGTACCCAGTATATACAGCTGGTACCCCGTATATACAGCTGGTAATCGGTATATACAGCGAGTAAATGGTATATACAGGGGGTACTCAGGATATTTAGCGGATACCGGGAATATATGGTAACCTGGAATATCGGCTACCCTGGATATTCAGTCAGAACCCTGGATATTCAGTCAGAACCCTGGATATTCAGCGGTCACCTGGGATATCCAATATTTGAGTACTTTGGATATACAGCCAGCCTATGCATGCATATTTTGGCCAAGATTAACTGAGTCAGATCTTTCTATATTTCCTTATTTCTTATATCGAACTTCTTGTTCATTTTTTAACCTTTATTNTCTATCTATCTTTATATAGTCCTTCAGCTATCTATCTATATATCCTTCTTTATATAGTCATTCATCTATCCATATATTTTTCTTTCTATCTCTCTATATTTTATCTTTCTATCTTTTTATTCATCAATCTTTCTATCTATCTATCTTTGTATCTATCCATCTTTTTATCCATCCCCCCCCATCCCTCAATCCCCTCCCCCCCTCCATGTCCCTCTCTCCAGCTGTATTTTCATAAAGGACATTCTTCCCTTATTTGTCCAGAATTGCTGGAATTGTTTCTTCCAGATGTTACAGGGGAAATGAAAGGGGATTTCTGGAATGGGGGGATTTCTGAGAAAGAAGAGGGGTTTGAAGGGGAAGGGGAACCTATTGAATTGGTTCCGGTGTGGAACCAGGGTTTAATAATAAGTATGTTTGTGATTGATGATCCATAAATTCTCGGGATATTCTTCTGTCTTCTCTTTTTCTAACCTTTGTTCCCAGTAAACTGTATTCTTTTTTCTTTACTTTTTATCCTGTATCCTGTATCTTATATCCTGTAACCCGTATCCTGTATCTTATATCCTGTATCCCGTATCCTGTATCTTGTATCCTGTATCCTGTATCTTGTATCTTGTATCTATCTATCTATCCTTCTTTATATGTTAACCCCTCAGCCAATAGATTAGTGGAAATATGATTACAAACAATCAGAATAACATAATATTTAGACTGAGTAAAAGTGTTTGATTCAAAAAATAATTTTTTATTTGATTCAAATGTTTCCTATCTTCCCCCACCCCCAAATTTTTTTTTATTTTTTCATTTGAGGTTTTTAGCCAAAATTAATTTCCTTCGCTATTTCTCAATTTGCATTAAAGAAACTGAGTCTCTGTCACAAACATTAGAAAATTTGAATTTTTGGAAAATACTATATCTAGAGCTGATTCTGTAACCTGGAACCCTCATAAGCTTCTTGGAACACTCCTTCAATGCTCTACTCTACACGTCAAGGAATCTGTGAGTAAATTCGTAAACACAATTATTCCGCAAATGTTATTAAATTAATTAATGTTATTTTATGTCTACTAAAAAAGGTTGACAAAAAAACACCTATAATAGTAAATACCTCGAAAGGTATTTAAAGATCTGTTGTTTCCCTTCTCTAATGGATTCCAAGACGTTTAAAGTTTTTAATTGAAATTCCACAAGCATAGAATGTGTTTAAAAGTTTCTTATTAAAAGGGGAGTTTTTTTAAATTTACGTCTTGCTAGCTAGACATAACCTCAGAAGTACTTTTATGAAAAGAAATATAAATTAAAAACATCACATTTTGAAATAATATCTCTCTGAAGCTTCCCCTGCATAAAATAAATCTCCCCCTGGCAAAATGTTCCATTGAAATCCGCAGCTGGCATATTAAGGACAAATTCCTTCCAGAAATAAATGCGCTTTTTAAACAAATGTTGTAATTGCGCATTTTAAACGTAAAGTCATCATTTTATCGTTGTACAGTTAACACTAATCTGTACAGTGTACACTAATCTGTACAGTGTACACTAATCTGTACAGTGTACACTAATCTGTACAGTGTACACTATTATGTACAGTGTACACTAATCTGTACAGTGTACACTTATATGTAGAGCGTACAGTAATCTGTACAGTGTACACTAAACTGTACAGTGTCGATTAATCTGTACAGTGTACACTAATCTGTACAGTGTACACTAATCTGTACAGTGTACACTAATCTGTACACTGTACACTAATCTGTACAGTGTACACTTATCTGTACAGCGTACAATAATCTGTACAGTGTACACTAATCTGCAAAGTGTACACTATTTGTACAGTGTACACTAATCTGTACAGTGTACACTATTCAGGGATTACTGATCAGCTGTAACCAGATGTCAGCTGACTACTTGTTCCAAACTGACAAGTGTTATGACGTCACATTTGATACAGGGGATAAGGTAAACAAACAAACAAACAGAAAAATTTCGAAAATAAGTTTTTGAAGGTTTCTTTTTTTATTGCACTTTTAATTTGTTCTTAAATTTAAGATTCGCTTAACCTTTATAAAATTAATTTTCTTTTTTTCTAGATTTAGTTTTTGATAAAAAGTGAACAGTCCCATTGATGTAAAGCTAACTCTATTTATTTATCTACTCTCGTAAATTTCCTCATGTAAAGCCGAGGCTTACAGTGCCGCCAGCCTCAGCTATGTCAGCCTCTGATTGGTCAGATCAGCCTCCGGTTCATTTTTTGGCGGCAGATGCATCACATGTTTTTTTCAGGTCATCCAATGTGGAAGACACAACGATATTTTCAAGTTCTGGCTTCAATGGCGCTCAAGGGTAAGTCGTTTTTGCTGCACCAAAAAGGATATCATTTTCTAAAAAGGGGGCGGGGTTGAAGGCCGAGTTAGGGATAATGCCAAAGGCCATGGTTCACATGGGAACCGAATGCTGCTTCTAGGATTGTTTAAGACAGTATTATTTGTTTATATTTCATTGTCTATGATGCACCTAGGTATATATCTAGGTTTTTATTTGTCAAGGAATATATCTATGTTTTTATTTGTCAAGGTATATATCTAGGTTTGTATTTGTCAAGGTATATATCTAGGTTTTTATTTGTCAAGGTATATATCTAGGTTTTTATTTGTCAAGGTATATATCTATGTTTTTATTTGTCAAGGTATATATCTATGTTTTTATTTGTCAAGGTATATATCTATGTTTTTATTTGTCAAGGTATATATCTATGATTGTATTTGTCAAGGTATATATCTATGTTTGTATTTGTCAAGGAATATATCTATGTTTGTATTTGTCAAGGTATATATCTATGTTTGTATTTGTCAAGGTATATATCTAGGTTTTTATTTGTCAAGGTATATATCTATGATTGTATTTGTCAAGGTATATATCTATGTTTGTATTTGTCAAGGAATATATCTATGTTTGTATTTGTCAAGGTATATATCTATGTTTGTATTTGTCAAGGTATATATCTAGGTTTGTATTTGTCTAGGTATGTCTAGGGTTGTGTTTGTCTAGGAGATATCTTTGTTTGTATTTGTCAAGATATATATCTATGTTTGTATTTGTCTATTGTTTAAGGTATATCTGGGTTTGTAACTGTCTATTGTTTAGGGTATATCTGGGTTTGTAACTGTCTATTGTTTAGGGTATATCTGGGTTTGTAACTGTATATTATTTAGGGTATATTTGGGTTTGTAACTGTATATTATTTAGGGTATATCTGGGTTTGTAACTGTCTATTGTTTAGGGTATATCTGGGTTTGTAATTGTATATTATTTAGGGTATATCTTGGTTTGTAACTGTCTATTGTTTATGGTATATGTGGGTTTGTAACTGTCTATTGTTTAGGGTATATCTGGGTTTGCAACTGTCTATTGTTTAGGGTTTATCTGGGTTTGTAACTGTCTATTGTTTAGGGTATATCTGGGTTTGTAACTATCTATTGTTTAGGGTAAATCTGAGTTTGTAACTGTCTATTGTTTAGGGTATATCTGGGTTTGTAACTGTATATTATTTAGGGTATATTTGGTTTTGTAACTGTTATAATATTTAGGGTATATCTGGTTTTGTAACTGTATATTATTTAGGGTATATCTGGGTTTGTAACTGTCTATTGTTTAGGGTATATCTGGGTTTGTAATTGTATATTATTTAGGGTATATCTGGGTTTGTAACTGTCTTTTGTTTAGGGTATATCTGGGTTTGTAATTGTCTATTGTTTAGGGTATATCTGGGTTTGTAATTGTATATTGTTTAGGGTATGTCTGGGTTTGAGAATCAAATCAACCGACTAATGGACCTCACAGCGTATCAGGTAATAAAAACTCAAATATTTTTTTCTCTCGAAAGGCCAAAAATAAAAACAGTTGGTGATATCGTTTTCATTTTGATTGAATACATTTTGATTAAAATTTCTGTTTCTTGTGGAGCATCTTAAATGGACTGTAAGCGTAATTTCAAGCGAATCTTCAAGCAAAGATGACAACGCCCGATTTACGGAATTAAAAAAATACAAACACAGAACACGATAATATCTCCCACATTATTTATCAGATAAAGGCTCGAGGGTACTGTTGTGCATACAAAATCTCAAAAAACTTATCTAATCTTTTCAATTCAGAAAGACAAATCTTGGTAAATATTTTTAATTTAGGTCAAGAAAATGAAAGAGAAACCCTCACTTTTCTATCTGATCATACCAGACCCAGAGTGCACCAACGTCTGTTTCTGGTATATACCAGAGAGGTAAGAACACAATCACCAGATTTTGAAACCTATTATTAATCCCATACGAGAAGAGGGATAAATGGTGGCAGGATGAGCTGGGGAAAGTGACCGCTAAGCTCAAGGTGAAGAATTTAATTCATTAATTCATCAATTCTTCTCAAAATCATGCATTTTCATTTCATTGACAAAATATTGATTTTCTGAAGACTTGAAGTGTCCTCTCCTTTTATAGAATGGGGGACGTTCGATTTAATGCGGTATCTTTGTATGATACATCCTTGTTAATAAGATGAAAATTTAATTTTTTTAAAACTGACTTGCGGATTTATGCCTTATAAAGACAAGGAAGAAAATTAAGATAGAATCACGGCGAAGGTTTAAACGGTACCATTGTGAATGGAGGGTTCCCAAAATATTTGAATATTCATTTTTAATTATTTTTGAAGTTCGCTAAAAAATGATTGCAATGATAAAACCCTAAGTTGTTGTTATTATTACAGGGACGTATGATGAAAGCTGGTTCTATGATGATCAGCTATCAACCTCTCGGCGATCTACCAAACTTCTTCAGATCAATTATCTCTAACCAGGCACAGACAGGTCTGGTCATACAATGGTCGGCGTTTATATCACTACAATGAAAACAACATATTATCATTAATTGCTTATCAATGCTTTTACATGTTAACAAAGAGAAGCTGCTAATTGACAACTTCTCTTTGTTAACATGTTTATATGTCTTTGCTGTTTGAAAGCTTGGTAGAAATCAAAATAAAAAGTCGTCTTCATTGTATTGATATATATACGACGATTTTAGACAATTTTGGGGGATTTTGTTCAGGTCTTGACCTTAGAGTTGACCTCATTAACTCACTTATACTTTTTGTAGCACTAAACATTAACATTTTAGAATTATATTCAACGATTTTTGCGTCAGAGCACTGTTAACCAAAGTGTGTATACGCTCTGACCCAAAGATCAAGATTTTTCCAAATTCCTCTTTTAAGTTTAAACTCTGAAGTTCCAGAGCTATAAAAAAGTAAATTGGTTATTTCAAATCAATATCCAAGGAGTTACGACATTTCAAATGCTTATGGAATAACTTTCATAGTTGTCATGTATTCTGTTTTAAAGGGGTCGAAATGTCAGAACCAAAATTATATTGAAAGAAAAATTGAAATAAAAATTAAACCTAAAAAAAGGGGCGTGATAATTAAGTTGCATTTCTTTGTAATTGAATTCTGAACAAAATGAAGTTGTTAGACTTTTTGTGTTTTCTTCAAAATATTTTTATTTAGAAATTGACGTTGACTTTATGCTGGAGGAGTTGGATAGATTGGGTAAAGATCTCTAAACAGAATTTGGTAAAAAAATTTTATTTTTTTTCAGAAATATTAAATCATTAAATTAATTAGTGATGGGCGCGTTCGGCTTTTTTTCATTTCGTCGTTTTATTCGTGAACGACCTTCGTTCGTTTTTTCCAATCGTTAAAAAAATAGATTTCGTTCGTTCTCAAAAGAATCGTTCATTATTCATCAATTTTGTTCGTTTCTCACTGATCGATCGTTCAGTAAAATCTTTCGTTCAATAAAAAATACGATCGTTTAGTAAAAATACTTTAAATCGTTCATGAACGATCAACAGTTTGTTTTAGTTTTACTCGTTCGTTAAAAAAACGATAGCTAACACGCCAAACTAAAGTAAATTGACCCCCCCCCCCAGCATATCCTGGTTTTCAAGTACCCCAGCAGGGGTAGGGTTAACACCCTACAAACCCTACAAACTACAGTTAATTGCTTGAAATATTGTAATCTCAAATATTTTAAATCATGACTCCTTTATTGCAGAGCTATTGAGAACTCCTTTATTGCAGAGATATTGAGAAGTACAAAAATGTTTTGAATTTCTTTTAAATTTTCTATTTTTATTCTTGTGCGTAAAATCAAAACTTGAGAGCTATGAAGTCACAAAGGCGTTCCAGTAATGTCGCATAAAATTGACCTTCTCCGTCTGTTTGGTTTGCAGTGTTATATATATATATATATATAGAAATCTCTTGATATATTACTTGAATTAAAATGTTCAAACTAATTGATTAAAATAAGAGTTGACAGATTAAGTGAAGTTAGCGTGGTGGAACAAATTAAACCCCAGCTGGGAAATACAGGGTGTCCCACGAAACACGACAATAGCAAGACTAATTGTAGGCCGTCAATGATTTGCAGCCTTTATTCGTAAGCCTAATTTTAGAAGTAAAATTCTTGAGTTAAAAGTACCCCTAGTCTTGAAATTTCCAAAATGTGGTCTGCCTTTTAGTGCTTTCAATATTATCGAGGAAATAAAATGAAATTGAAATCTGAAAAATTCTTCATATCTCCGTTAATATCGAAAGCACAAAAATGGCAGACTTTTATTTGGTTATTGTTTCAAGTTGTCTTGCTATTGTCGTGTTTTGTAGGACACCCTGTACCATTAATTACAATTCACAATAGAATCTGAGCTGAGAACTTTTGAATTGAAGAATTCAGTTTAAATCCTTTCTGTCCGCCCCGGGACAATCCTTCTCTTATTAATCAAATTCCCAAATTGGGACTGTAAATGCAACTTCACGTGAATGTGAAATCCCAATTAAATATCCCAATTAAAGAGGTGCATTTCCGATTCACAACGGGTACCCAACTTAAAATGGGTTGAATTCTGTCAATTTCCTTCAGTTGCATTTCTAATTGTCAAGTCTCTTATACGAAAAACTGGTAAATTTCCAGATAGAAAATCTAGAATAAGTTTATAATTTTGGTTTAGGCACATATACACAGGATTTAAAAGTGCCATCGTGCCTCGTAAGTCTGACATGCGCTCTGTACAATTAAATGGTTAATTAAATTACGCCTACAGTCACAATGAGTTTTACCTGAGATAAAGCTGTAGCTCTCAAAATCCTTAATTTTTCTCGATGTAATTGTATAATGCATTTACGGTGTACACTGTACAACTGGTTCATTACGAAATTAACCACATTTTGTGTAAGAAGAAATAAATTTCCACCCTCCCCCCTCCCATACAAAAAAAAAACTAGGAACACTATTAAAAAATGTAAGTTTTGAAATTGAAACTTTATTTGGCATAATTATAAAATTCAAAATTAAATCTGTATTTTTTTCAGATTGTTTGAAGGAAGACCAAACTAGTCGATCCTAGGATCTAGAACTTTATATATTCATACTTATTTGTGCGTCCCCCCGGGCAACTTGTGCTTTTGCATACGACGCAATTGATGTACTAAATAGATACCCATGTCTTTGTTTATACTTGTTGAAGCAAAACGCGGAAAAGCGTCAAAAATGGAAAAAATATATTTGTTATCAATGGATTAAATACTTAAGATTGTTTATGTTAAAGAATCCAAATTATAATCTAAAATAGATTTTAAATTCTGTTGTGAAAAAAAGGTTGTGCCGACATTTAGTCATTTTAATTGATTGAGAAAGGTGATCATTATTTTTTTTATTATGTTAAGAATTTAAAATATTTATTTAGTATAATGTATAAATGATTATATTTTATTTTCTGTTAAATATTTAAAAACTATTTATATAATTTACTTCTTAAACCGGTTTTAACAAAAAGTTTATGTGTTAAAATATTTTTCTTTGATTTTATTGATTTTATTTAGAGTTTGTAAAAACCTAAGATGTCCAACATCGGCTTTCATGGCGCTTTGTGCAATCCGCATAGAGTGCCGCGTACAATTATTCCGCCATATTGCCGGAATTTTAATAATTCATCAAAATGTATTAAAACAAATTTGCTTTCAAGAAATGACCAATTTGCTTTCAATCTCTTGTATCGTAAAATTTCAAGCCACAGGGTGAAAGAATTAGAGAAATAAATAAGTTGATATGTTCTCGTTTTATCCGTTCTCCCTGTTATATTATATTTAAAGTATGTTTATGTTCAACTAACGCAACAAAATGTTACAATGTCTTCCATTGTTCAGAGCTAAACACAAAGTTAAAAATTCATTTTTTAACTTTTGCTTTCTTGCTCTTGATCAACCATTGTCTACGCATATCTATAACTGTTTTTAGAAACAAATTGAATTTTATATTTTGAAATTTGGTTTGATTAATTGCTGAATTTGGTTTAATTATAGTAGTGCACGTTATTATTATTGTAATAAAGTTTAAATGTGAGAATAAACATGAATAAAGGATTATACTTTAATGCTCTAGTTTAAAGAAAGGTTTGATTTTTAAAAACAATGTTTACACAACATGAATATAATAAACAAATTAACAAGTTCAAAAGAGGGAGAAGGCTGGGGTCATACACCTGCTATACCCAGGGAATAGGAATAAAGGGAAAGGAAATGGCGCTGTTCTGGCATGAGAAAGCCAGTCGCACTGCTTTGCAGACAAGTTCGGTAAACCTTACACACACTCTTTTGGTACAGAGACACAACATGACTACAGTCAAGGAAGTTGCAGAACAATGTCAATTATAATTAAGCTTAAATAACGACTAGTTTATTGTAAACTTTAAGCCAAATTTTCATGCAAAGAATATATAAATATTGAATAATGTATTACATATACATAATATGACCTCCAAAATGACCACTTGGAGGTCAAAAAGGTCAAAAGTGCCGTCGACGAAAATGTTAATGACATAAGAATAGTAAGAATGGATTCACCATGTGGATTTGCCCCTATTTCGGTACCCATGACGGTATGAGTGCTCCATTGATATAATATGGCCTCCAAAATGACCATTTGGAGGTCAAAATGGGCAGTTGTGACCTCGGGAGTAAAATTTTCGAAAAAAATGATTGAAAATGGATTTACCATGGGCTTTTACCCCTGTTTAGACACACATGACGATGTTTGTGTGCTATTAATATAATTTGACCTCCTAAAATGACCCCTTTGAAATCAAATTTGCGGATAATGACCTCGGTGGTAAATTTTTTCAAAAACCAATATCATTGTTGAAACATGAATATGCTTTTACCCATAAAACGATACCTTGGACGGCTTGTGCTCTCTAAGACATAAGTTTACATTTATGAATGTGTTCTTTTTTTGCGTGAACAGTCCCTTAGAAGGCCCCATGAAAGAAAATTACAACATTTTTGGCCTACCTAACTACCTAATACCTTGAACCTATCATATAAATGGACTAATAACAAATGAAAGCGTGAACATATCATTTCTAAAGTAAAAATATTATTAATTAAAGTGATGACTTTTTAAAAGTTTTTTTTTTGCAATTTCAGATTCACAAAAAATGTTGTATTTTTGTACCCTGGTGGGTTAGATAAAAAAATTTGATTGAAATAGCGAGCTGTGTATTGTACCAATTGATTTCAAAAAGAAAATTTAAAAAAAATTATTTTTGTGGTCTGGGCAAGGTTCGTACGGAGATACCCGTATCTCTCTTTTCGTTTTTTTTAATGCATATTTTTATTTTTAGATTGCTCTAGCTCCAAAAGTAATAATCGCTGATCCAAAATTTTAGTTAAAAATGAAACCTAAGACTAACAGCTTATGATTTTTAAAAAAAATTTTGACAATCTTTAAATTTTTTCATACTTTATGAACGAATGAAAATGAGACGTGAAAAATCGAAAAATTGAAAAATCCGGGAAATCGATTTTCGACTTACGCTCAAATAATTGGTTGTAACAAAAAAAGTATGAGGCTTAGAAAGAAAAATTTCACATCATGAAATAACTGAAATATAGAGCTTTCGAATGACACCTTGATCGTAAAAATTGAACGAAAATTGTTTCCTCAGTTACTAATACCCCTACTGCACAGTTTTTTTTGAGACACCCTGTATATTAAACTTATTTTTAAGTAAACAATTAACAATAAACAAATTTACTCTCCTACTGTACAAATACCGAGATTCGTATGTACTGTATATACTTACAGTACACCAGTACACACTACACACGAATTCGGTTCGGTAAACTTTACACACACTTTTTTGGTACAGACACACACACATGACATTTCCGCCCCTTGGCTAAACCCCCTGGGGGTTAAAACAAAGTCCGATGTTTAACAATTATTGAATAAATATTGATTGTTTGTTCATTTATAAGGAATATGACATTAGAAAGTTAACAACTTTTAAAAATGTATTCCAGAATTAACGCATTTCTTTCTGTAATTTTCACATTTTTGAATGTTATGAATCTTTTATTAAAGGGAGTGACCGGCTAAGTATGGTAGTTGGATTGAATATGCAGTATATTGTGGACGAATTCTTTAGAATTTATTTGAGACATAGAACGTTTTTACGATGTATAATCTCTGAGTTTGATCGCAAAGTCGACTTTCAAAATCATCTTTTTGAGTGGATGGTGGATACGTTTGAGAATTTTTCTTTATATTATTAAATAACGACGACAAAGTTTACTTGGGCATTAAAACAATATAACTCTTAAAACTTTTTCCGAAGGGTCACGTGAATGAACTGTCGCACGAGGAGAGGCGCAAGTACTCTAATTTAGATATTTAGATAACTTTAGTTTTACCAAGGTTGTATAATAACATGGGTTACTCTCGATGCGCTCCAATGTACAGAAAATGTCGCCTAGATAGATAACCTAATATGACGTCACTGATTATAGAGGCGAGAGTGACGTCATATTAGGTTTTTATCTATCTATCTTAGAAGACGACATTCCGTACATTGGATCGCATAGAGAGCAACCAACCTCTTTATACAACCTTGAGTTTTACAGTGTTAACAAAAACTAAGGAACGAATTTTGCCTTTTCTTTCCTCTTCGGAAATGATGCAAACGAGTTTGCAATTTTGTAATTTTCTAAACTAAAATTTGTCTAAAAACTTTTAATTATATTACTTCCAAACCTGTAAGAACTTTTATCTCTAAACAAAACTACAGGATGTCCCAAAAACATGGGAATTCAGTGACTAATTGGATATCGTCTTTGTTATTTATTAGCATTGTAATACCTAATTTCAAAAGCCATAATATTATTATGTCTGCTAGAGTTTATTTTATGAAAAGGGTAAAAGACTGTAAAGATGTGTAATGTCTCCGCAAGATGAACAGTGAACTCTGTTTACATAGCAGACGAAACTCTTACAGATTACTGCTTTCTCAGTAGGTATTACTATACTAAATCAAAGAATTATATAAAAGACGATATCGAATTTTCTCACTGAATTCCCATGTGTATTGGGACACCCTGTATTTGGAGACCCCAATAATAATCAAATCAGGAATATTCATAAATATTTTTTTATTTTCTCTGTTAAATATGTTTTTATGATATACAGTGTTATCCACAAAGGTTGAGACTTCAGAGACGATTGTACGGAAATTAGTTCCCCTTCTTACATTCAGGGTTCCTTGCAGCTGCAGGTCAACACTGACTTATTTATGTACTTGATCATTTAATAAACCATTCAGGGTTCCTTGCAGGTCAACACTGGCTTATTTATGTAATTGATCATTTAATAAACCATTCAAACACTAAATTGAAGACAGAAACGAAAAGTCAGGATGTAAATTGTCATATTTTAAGCGTTTTGAGTCTCATCCTTTATGGTTAACCCTGCATTATAGCAGAAAATTACAAATTTGTCTTCTATCCTCTGCTACAATCTTTATCCTGTTCCTTCCTGAAAAAAGTTTCATATTATTCTAGAGAAACCTTTACTTAATCATATCTGTCTGTCCGTCTATCTGTCAATATGCTAGAGAAACCTTAACTTTCATATCTGTCTGTCCGTTTATCTGTCAATATGCTAGAGAAACCTTTACTTTCAAATCTGTCTGTCCGTCTATCTGTCAATATGCTAGAGAAACCTTTACTTTCATATCTGTCTGTCCGTTTATCTGTCAATATGCTAGAGAAACCTTTACTTTCAAATCTGTCTGTCCGTCTATCTGTCAATATGCTAGAGAAACCTTTACTTTCATATCTGTCTGTCCGTCTATCTGTCAATATGCTAGAGAAACCTTTACTTTCATATCTGTCTGTCCGTCTATCTGTCAATATGCTAGAGAAACCTTTACTTTCATATCTGTCTGTCTGTCTATCTGTCAATATGTTTGAGAAACCTTTAATTTCATATCTGTCTGTCTGTCTATCTGTCAATATGAGCCATCTTACATTGTTGATTTTTTTTTATGAACGAAACAACAAATGTTTACAGACGACTGTACGGTATTTATTCAGCCTTTTCCCTCACATTGATAGATCCTTTCTGCTTCAGCTTTACGCCTTTATCATCAGGAAAATACTTAAATATACCATTTATAGGGAAAAACCTAATTTAAAAAAACGGGAACATTTGAAAAGTTTTAAAAGTGCGCATCATACTCCTGGGTAAAATGTAGTATCTAGCAAGTTAAAAACATTTTAATGGGTTACCCCTAGGGTTTCCAGCAAAATGAGGAAATCGAAAATTTTTGCTTTTTCCGCGAAATTCCGCTCTAATCTCTTTCGCAAAAGAAAAAAATGCGAAAATTTCGCAATAAATTGCTAAAATTTCTTTTTGTTTCTTGAAAATTTCGCACTTATTGGAGAAACAGATTTTTTCACAAAATGCCTCATCGTTTTCGCTTCCTATCGCAAATTCCTTTTCGCGAAATTTTTTCATACGGATTAAATGTATATAAGAAATAAGAAAGAAAAGATTCCGTAAAATCGTTTTTAAAAACGCATAGTTTGATGGTAGCCCTGCAGCATCAAGACAGTATTGATTTCATTAAAGAGATTTAAAGGAACTGGAAGTGTAATTTCAAGTGACCCTCCATGCAAAGATTCCCAACAGTACATTTAAAACCTTTATCTGATTAATACTTGGGAAGAAATTGTGAAAAATCATTATTAAAAATAATATTGGTTTTCAAAATTATAAACTTTGATATCTAAATCATGCTTGATCAGACCAAGGTACTAATGCAAGGAAATTTAATTGCAGTTGCGTATACTCTGCGTACATATTGAAACAAGTTCTCTCTGGAAGGAATTTGTAAACAAGAATAGATGCATCAGTGTTCGTCTAGTATCCGAGGAGGATAAAAGCATTTACTTTTGATAATTTTGATAATTCACATAATAGTTTCCTATGACCAGAATATTTCATAGATTATTTTTGTGAAAATTGATCCCATGTCAGGCTGTGACATCCGTCTTGTGTTTACTTTTCCGCCCACAGACAGTACACTGCAGTTAAAAAAATGCGTACACCTCTGAAATAATTTTCCTTGCATTAGAACCTTGGATCAGACATGGGTTTAAATTTTGTTTGTGAACCAAGGCATTGTATACTCTTTGCATTGAAGTTCGCTTGACATTACGCTTACAGTCCTTTTAAGGCAAGCAACGTTCTTAAGGAAAAGAGAAAATCGGAAACTTAAAACTAATTATACCAAAATACAGTCGATCTTAAAGTCGTCTTCAAAAATGTCGTCTTAGATGATTCAAACTTTTTACTTTATACCTCAAGTTCAGCAGTTTTCTCGACTGCTTCTTTTCTGTTGGCAGCTCTTAATTCTTTTTCCTAGAGTTAAAATAATATTGGAAAAATATTGTCCAAATATTATTATTAAAATTGTAAAATTGACTGTGGTCCGTAGTGTACTTTTGCGTAAACCTTGTATTGTCATTTTAATTCATTGCCAAATGTTATGCTAAAAAATTAAACAGTCTTTTATTTACGATAAATATAATGTATTTGCATTCTTTTTCTAAATTAGAATAAAACAATTTGTGTTTTACTTAATAACTTCATATTTATGCTTTGTATCGATAAGCCTACAGTACTTTACATTACATACAGAGTTACCCAAAAAGAATGAGACTGTAAAGACGACCTAAAACTCTTAAAATATGACGATTCTAAGGGTAAATTAAGTCTACGGTATTGAATGAAGTCTTCAATGACTTATTTAACTACTTTGCAGCGAAAAAAAGTTTACCGTTGCCGAGAATCATGAATTTAAAGAAAAGGACAATGTAAACTTCGTACAATTGGGAAAACGAGGAAAAAAACAAGAAAAAAACGACAGTTATAGTTTCTTTTTACCCCGAAAATATTTAGAAAACCATGAACCATCCTTTTTACCTTCCTCCTCCTCCTCCCAGTCCTAGAATCCCTTTAGTTTTCTCTTTCAGGCGAATCTCCTAAAATCAATTTAATATAAAAATCTTTCATATTAATTTTTCTAAATTGTCTGGCTATTAGAGAGACTGAATACGTAATTTAATGTACCGCCACATTTAAAAAGAGTAGCATGTCTTCTTCACAATGATGACCGGAAATATTTGTCTGAACAAATTTGAATCAGATATCCATGTTTTTCTTTTAAAAACAGATTATTTTCAAAAGTGACCTTTGAACAAAAGTGACATGAGCATTTCTATTCCTGAAACCTCGGAGGAATTATCAGAATTAAACACTGAAAAACAATGATATCTTCACGATTATTGATCAGATAAAGATGTCGAGAGTCGTGTTGTGAATCGGCGGGTTACTTGAAATTACGACAAAAGTCTGTTTAAGGCTTTTGTTTGTCTGTTATGGTGTCTGTTTGTTTCCAATAAACGTCAAAACAGCTAAACTGATCGGGCCCAAATTTTGTGTGGGACCTCATGTGACCCCAGGGAAGGTTTATAAATGATCAAAATTTCAAAAAATTGTGCTTAAAAGTTTTATTTTTTGTAAAATTTTGAAAATGCGCAAAAATATAATGAAATCCGCAAACTTGTTTGTTTGTTTTTGTTTTATACTGCACAAAGAGAATATGCTCACAATTAATAGTCGAAATAGCTAAGGCTAAATTTGTAAAATTTTATTTAAAACTTTTTAATTATAAGATTGCTTATAATCATTTATAGATCTAGATATTATTCTAAAAACAATTAAAAATTAGATTTATATCTTTCTATTTCTTAAAATTGGTGGAGATATGAAATAATTCCTTGGGTATAAGGATAGAATTCCTTGGGTATAAGGAACCTTTGTATGGAAATGTGGATTGAAAAGAATACATCAGATTACCAATTTATTATTGGATTTCTTTAACGAGGTTTGCCTGCTTATTGCGACACTCTGTGCCATGTTTTTGATACACCATGTTTTATGTTTATTTGGACATCCTTTACCATGCTGATGAATGTTTTTCGGGAATCCCAGTATCATGTTTTTCGGGACACCCTGTTTTATGTTTTTCGGGACACCCTGTTTTATGTTTTTCGGGACACCCTGTTTTATGTTTTTCGGGACACCCTGTATCATGTCTTTCCGGACACCCTGTACCTTGTTTCTTGCTTCTAGAATTTTCTCTCTTCTTGTTTCTCTTTCAAACATGGCGGTTACAGAGGCTTTCTCATTCCTTGGAAATACAATAATAAAAAATATAAGCTGCGATGTATGAATGTACTATATGTTTCTATAAATATAGTATATCTATATATATAGTATTCTCTGTCTGTTTGTTTGTATGATGATCATAACTCAGGAACTTCTGACCGATTTGCCTCTCATTTTGATTAGAGAACTCAGGAACACGACGGGAATGTTCCGAGCTTGGTTTTGAGATTCTAAGTTGAGTGGGTCGACTTTTATTGGGAAAAATAGCTAAAACGTAATTTAAGACCAAGTGCGGGTTAACGGCAGGAGTTTCTATAATTAACAAGCTAGTGAATTTATGATGTGCTCAATGTGGTATCTCAAATGTGCTCTCTCAATGTGTAATCTAAATTTGGAATTACAATGTGCAATCTTAATGTGCAATCTCAATGTTATATCTCAATATACGATTTCAATGTGAGATTGCAATATACGTCCTAAATGTGCAATCTCAATGTTTTATCTCAATGTGCGTTCTGAATATACAATATCAATGTGCAATCTCAATGTTTTATCTAATGTGCGTTCTGAATATACAATATCAATGTGCAATTTCCATGTGCAATATCAGTGTGCAATCTCAATGCTTTATCTGAATGTGCGTCCTAAATGTGCAATATCACTGTTTTATCTAAATGTACTTCCTAAATGTGCAATGTTTTATCTTAATGTGCGTCCTGAATATGCAATATCAATGTTCCAGTTTCCTTCCCAGGTTATTTGAAGTTGAAGTTATAATAATTTATTTGAAGTATGGCAATTAACAAAATTCAATGTGTTCTTGCCAGGCTACATTTGTTGCATAACACGTGCTGGGTCTACTCTTCATAGGATATTCCCCTAGATAAATTAGAATAGATTGTTCATGCAGACTGTAAAGCTGAAAATTGTACAACCCCGTGTACATCATGAACTCGTCATTTGAAAGGGTCATTGAATACGTTTTACTTCTCGGGGTCAATCTGTAGAGTATCTTTTTTTTACTAATTTATTTAAAGAAGTTTAATAAAAACTAGGCTTCTCCCATAAACTATTTTAGCTTTTAACCCTAAACAGGCTTGGCCGGCCCTATAGTTTTTTTGTCCTAGCACTCTCATTTTTGTGACTTTTAATGAATAGTTGCTCTAATTTATCTAGGGATATTCCATACTGGACAGTACATTCAAATGCATATACACTACAGTACATGGTGTACCGACACGGATTATGTGACTTTTAGAATGAAATATATAACATACTTTTGGCTGACACTGAGACTCTCACTGAGCTCTATGATACTGGTACTACCGTTATTGCATCCAATTGCCACCAGACACCCCTGTTCATGAATCTAGAAACAAGATATACAGGATTTATGTCAACAAAACATTTTGTGTCTTTTCAATGCTTATTAAATTTTGCTAGTTTTCTTTTATCTAAACTAAACCTACTTCACTAAATTATGCTGCAATTCATAATTTAGTACTTTCCATTTTATCAACATTTTTTCCTCTATGTATTCTCTAAGCCCTCGGGATTATGATAAATGTAAGACTAGCTGTGATGTGTAGGAAAAATAAAGTGTAGTAAACAGGAAGAGTAGGACAAATGAAGTGTAGGACAAATGAAGTTTAGAACAAATGAAGTTTAGGACAAATGAAGTTTAGGACAAATGAAGTGTAGGACAAATGAAGTGTAGGACAAATGAAGTGTAGG